TGAAACCCCGGGTCGGGTGGTTTGACTTGTGTAACTAGTGTACCCAGCAGCACCCAGGTTACATGTACAAGCACTAGTGTAGTCTTCTCACATGGGGGTCAACCTGGGCAGAGGAATAATGAAGGGCAGTGTAGAGTCTTGTTTTCAGGTGGGTATGGTGGTAACCCATTGAAGGTTTCCCCTGGCCAAAGTGTTGGCCAGGGGAATAGGGGTCATCATCCTTCAATCATTAGGACTCAATCACACACCAATAAGGGAGCAGTGTCCTGGAGGGAGCCCCTGTATAATTTTGAAGGTCCATTAACTCGGGTTAGGTCAGATTACGCTATGCCTCAGGAGGCGTACAGAAATATAAGTAGGGAATCCCCTGGGACTCAGAGTCACTCATGCTTTGCATCGGGGCAGATTTGTGTTAAGGGTTGGATAGGCACGGAGGTTGTGCCAGTTGTTAGTTTGGCGAGTCCAGTTGTGGAGTTTAGACCAATAGATAGTTATATTTCGGGTTCAGCATGCGGTAGGGAAAATACTTCTCTTGAAACTCCCGTAAGACTACAGGGGTAATCTCCCAATGATTCCTCAAGGTCAGGCCGAAATATCCCAGCTGAGGCCAAGAGTCTCACGTACACTGGTGACCTTGAGTGGGGCTTGTTCTATGCGAAATTTAGAACGTTAGCTAGATACTATGGATGGGATGACGACGAAAGTCTATTGGCTCTAAGTGTCTCCGTGGAGGGACCAGCACTGAGATACTTCTACCTGCTCTCCTCACGGGGTAGGCATATGACTTTTCAGGAGATAGCATCTCGATTTGAGCAACGGTTTGGTAAGGGTATATCTCAGTCCGCGTTGCAGGTGGAGTTTAACTCCCTGACTCAAAGGACTGATGAGAGTCTAGAGCTATACATTATGGCCACCAACTCCATTCCAAAGTTAAAAGAATCAATTAACCAGAAAGTGAATGAATCTCTCAAGGTAGACATCAGTAACCCAAAAAAAATATTCTGCAATTCTTCACAATCTGATACGGATATAGAATATTTAGAAACAACTAACACATCTCAACAAGAAACGGCAGGGAAAGAAACCTCTATTGCAATATCCGATCCAGTGGAACCTTCCGAGAAACCAAAAATATCAGAAGAAAATGTTGCCATTTTTAGGACACTCCGAAAACTTCATATTAAACTCCAAAGAACTAAAAACCATGCCGCATACCTGAATAAATGCCAGCAACAGGACCTCATACCAAAAACACTGAGAACCAAAACTATTCCACAAATTCCAGATAGTAATGCTTTATTTCTCCTTAACTGGGAGGAAGCACACCTTAATTTTAGCCGCAGACTCATCCGCTTACTTTATGAATATTGGAATACGAGAATTGATACGATTAATACACAGATACTTGATTTAAAATCCCAGCTTAAAAACAAAGAAAACACTAACGAAATGGAACATATAAACAATCTATTAACTGCAATTCCAAACTTTATGAAGAAGAATTAAGCCGATAAGGAATCAACAAAAGCATTCAAGGACAATAAAAATCCCAGTAATTGTTAACCCCCCCCCCCTTTGTGTAATTGACGAATTGGAGCAAGGATCTGCATACCTTCACATTTCGTCTGAATGAATTTTATCATAAAACTACTTTGAACTCTTAAATATTCTAAAGAAACTAGCTTTGTTTATATTAAAACATGTTAATTATTTTAATGTAATTTTACTAACAATTATTATCCTCCATAAAATAGGACTATTCAGAAGTAGAAATTTTTGAAACCAAACTACATTTTATGTTATCTCAACATTTATAGGAAATGTAATGTAATTTTATGCACTCTATAGGCCTATACATGTACAAACCATCCGTATTTTTTCCATTGTGACGTCACAGTCTACCGAAACAGCTTGATGATGCAACAGAAGAATAACAATCCACACAATTTATGGACGATTTTATTAATCTTAAAACAATAATGTTGTTTACTGACTAAATTTTAAGTCATAAAAACTTTAGAGGAAACGTAAATTGATCATATCTTGTATATAAGTACCATTGTTAAGCAAGTCCGCATTTCATTTTGTATATAGCAACGCCATCCGCATTTTTTGTATATAAAGCAACGTCATCCGCATTTTTTACTTCAGTAGATTATTTTACATGCTTGATTGTTCTGATGACGACCGTCACAGGTCGAAACCGGTCAACAAAATAAATTTACTGCTGCATTCTCACGAAGTGTTGGTGATCTGTTTTTTTTGTCCCCCGCTTTCGCAAAAGCGAGGGGACATTAAATCTCATTCGTCTGTCCGTCGGTCCGTCTGTCTGTCCATCGGTCCGTACAGTTGAGAGGTACATTGTGCATTTTACGGAAGGTGCGGGGTTATAATTTTGCTTTGTGGGGTTATTAATAGTACAGTGGTGACTTGAGAGGTTTCATTAGGAATTCAAACAAATGGTATATTGTGGGGTTAAAGGTCTATATTTGTGGGGTTAAAGATCTATATTTGTGGGGTTAAAGATCTATATTTGTGGGGTTAAAAATAAATTATTTAATATCAAGTCAACTTTACGGGCAACTAATTATAAGTACTTAAAATTGTTACTGTTTATCTGAAGAACTTAGAACGGATATTGCAATAACTTTTTTCAACTACTACCTAGCGGTAACAATGCAAAAAAATGTTTTATTTGAGGATAACTGTTGCATCAAAGTAAATTAACCCATCATGTTTTCACATAAAGATGAAAGACAAGGATATTCCAGAGAGTGTTAAACAAACAACCCCACTATGCTATATAGAAATAACAGACAACACTAACCCCATAAATTATAAGACAAACAACCCCAGTGTGTACTCTTATAAAGATAACAGACAACACTAACCCCATTAAGTGTTTGGACAACAACCCCACTATGTATTCTTATAAAGATAATAGACAACACTAACCCCATCAAGTGTTTGGACAGCAACCCCACTATGAACTATCATAAAGATAATAGACAACACTAACCCCATTAAGTGTTTGGACAGCAACCCCACTATGTACTCTCATAAAGATAATAGACAACACTAACCCCATAAAGTGTTTGGACAGCAACCCCACTATGTACTATCATAAAGATAATAGACAACACTAACCCCATAATGTGTTTGGACAACAACCCCACTATGTACTCGCATAAAGATAATAGACAACACTAACCCCATAAAGTGTTTGGACAGCAACCCCACTATGTACTATCATAAAAATAATAGACAACACTAACCCCATAAAGTGTTTGGACAGCAACCCCACTATGTACACTCATAAAGATAAAAGACAACACTAACCCCATAAAGTGTTTGGACAACAACCCCACTATGTACTCTCATAAAGATAATAGACAACACTAACCCCATAAAGTGTTTGGACAGCAACCCCACTATGTACTCTCATAAAGATAATAGACAACACTAACCCCATAAAGTGTTTGGACAGCAACCCCACTATGTACTCTCATAAAGATAATAGACAACACTAACCCCATAAAGTGTTTGGACAGCAACCCCACTATGTACTCTCATAAAGATAATAGACAACACTAACCCCATAAAGTGTTTGGACAGCAACCCCACTATGTATTTTCATAAAGATAATAGACAACACTAACCCCATAAAGTGTTTGGACAGCAACCCCACTATGTACTTTCATAAAGATAATAGACAACACTAACCCCATAAAGTGTTTGGACAGCAACCCCACTATGTACTTTCATAAAGATAATAGACAACACTAACCCCATAAAGTGTTTGGTCAGCAATCCCACTATGTACTGTTATAAAGATAAAAGACAACACTAACCCTATAAAGTGTTTGGACAGCAACCCCACTATGTACTCTCATAAAGATAATAGACAACACTAACCCCATAAAGTGTTAGGACAACAACCCCACTAAGTACTCTTATAAAGATAATAGACAACACTAACCCCATAATGTGTAACAACCCCATTATGTTCTTATATAGATTAAAGATAACATTAACCCCATAAAGTGTTAGACAAGAACCACAATATGTTCTGATAGAAAATATTAGACATCTTAGTAACCTCAGAGTGTTAAACAAACACCCCGCTGTATTCTCATGTAACAGATACCAGTAACCATATGAATTTAAGTGTTTGAAAACCCCAGTATGTTCTAATATCAAAAAAACTCTACCAGGGACTGGTAATAAAAGAACAAAAACCCCCACTATGTTCAATCGCAACTTCTCGAGCCTTTCTGACTAGCTGACAAATGACCTCGAATGTATTAGTTAGACGCCATGGCAACAACCCCCCCCCCCTTTTCATGATCTTCGAAATAAATGCATGAAGACCTTTTATCTGTGGAATATGGAGTTTAATTTTATTCAATGCTATGATATTACATAAAACTTACTATAAAAGGGACTTCTTACTTCCTCTATCGAAAATTTGAAAAAAACAAGAAAAACATAACCTTTAACATCAGGTGATGTTAATACATTCGAGGTTGTTTTTCCGAACTCTGACGGAAAGACCCTGAGTGAGATGATACAATTGCCAGTACATCATATCCTTTTTTTTTTACTATTAAAAATACCAAACTATACTCATAATACTTTTTCCTATTTTGATAACATACTTGAAAATTTGTTTTAAATATTTTTCAAACTATTTTTTAATTGGATAATCTCTTTATCTTAACTGTTTTTTCTAATGGGAATTTTTCCTTTGAATCTGCTGGTGCATGAATTTGAAGTGTACATTATGCATCAAAAGCATACATAATTTCATTGTAAATTAATAATAATAAATAAAAGAGATTATCCTGATTTTTTAAAAAAAGATTTAATCAAACTTTTCAGTTACTCGACAAGATGAACACAGATAAGAAACATGTCAATAAATGTAGAACACAGAAAAAAACCCTCAAAATTTGAGACAATCTTCATAAATGTAAAAAACAAGTATATAGTGAGTTGTCAAATAACTGTAAAACTTGCATGTTGTTGCTACTTATTTCAAACAAAATATATTAATTTAAATGAAGTTTTAAGAAAAAATGTGTAGTCTAATATCTCATCATTTTGCATTTTAAAATTGATATTAAAACAAAAATAACGATGTACATCCTTTTGGAAAATATACTCAAACTTACAGCTGCACCCCCACTCCCATCCCCTAAAATAAAATGAAAAAAAAAAACAACAACAGGCAATTGATTAACAATTTTCAAAAAAATAAAAATCAAACAACATAAATGTACATTTCAGTTTCATAATTATTTCTCACATTTAAAATGAGATCGCTAATTAAAAAAGACGAAAACTATGACTGTTTCTTAATGTATAGAAATTCACCATGACGAATGCAGTGTTCATAAAAGATCCTTTTGTCTTAAAGCTGAACACTACTCATAAACATAAGTAATCAGAGATTACATAGCTCAATTCAAAAAATGATTACTTCAAGTAAGAAACGGTCTCACATTTAACTAATAATCAAGAAGTTAATTTAAGGTTTCCAGTAACTTGAGAATAGACATCCAAATACTTGAAACTAGTTGCCCATCAAGAAAATGTCATTCAATCCACGACCCCTGAAAATGTTATCTTTTTAAGATCAACTATCAAAAATCGATTCATCTTCTTTTTCTGAAAAGTAATTCAGGTCCTAAATGTCGCCGTCTGGAGAAGACAATGGCAAGAATGAATACGGATTGTGCTTGTTCTTCTGAAAAGTCTTTCATTCATACTTCATGTATACCTGTCAAAAAAAAAATACAGTAAAATATATTTCTAAATGATAATGTTCAATTTTTTTTTTACAGGCAGGGGATGACAAATCCCATTGCCTGACGTCCGGGGCTAGTGAATTTTAGGGTTGGGCAAGTGAAATTTTATCAACCACTTGCCCGTGGGCAAGTGACTTAATCAATTATCAAAACTAAAATCAATATCTATGCCAATGTTCTACTCAGTATTTTTTATATATAAATTTTTAAATACAGTATAATTTAATGGTAGGGCAGGCAAAAATTCAGGTAGGGCAAGTGAATTTTGACCATGTACTTGCCTTTGGGCAAGTGCCTTAAAAATCCATTTGTCAGCCCCTGACAGGTTATGTTTTAATTTATTGTAAAATAATATTGTTGTCTTGATTTTATGGGCACTTATAACATGTACTAACCATCAATCTGAATGTCTTTGATAGTTGCTTTCCTTAAATTTGTGAACTATATTCAGATCACAAATTGTGTGTTCAAGTCATAGGTTTGTTCTTTCAACTTTATGAATGTCCGACGCCTGCTGGTGTTGCTGCAAAAATAGAGCGGCCTAGATCATCAAAGTTCCACTTATGTTCACTTTCAGTATCTGAACTCTACAAAGGAATAAAGAAGCAAATGTTTATTTATATCACATACAAAAATTCCGAGTTACTATTAAATTAAAATTATAATAATATAATAATAATATATGAATTTATAAAGCGCTAAATATTAATAATATAACTCTAAAGCGCTGTACAATAAAACGCAAGTAAACATAATTTAAAAGCTATGAAAACTTATATAAAATATTAACCAATACTCATATATGTGTTCGAAATTATAACATTAAAATACTACAAATTACATACAAAATACAATTACACCATCAATAAAACTCAATAAAAGAACATCATTTGTAATTTATGATTTGCTGCTAAAAATTGAGCACCTAAAACTTAAAAAGCTATCCTATAAAAGTGCGTCTTTAATTGTCTTTTGAAAATATCCAGGGACTGGGCCTGCTTTTTATCATTAGGAAGGTCGTTCCACAAAAATGCTGCTGCCCAGCCAAGTCGACGTTCTCCATATGTCTTCGTCCTGATGTTAGGAACAACTAACCGTGATGTTGACTCAGATCGCAGTGATCTGGTAGGCTTGTATTCCATTATAAGATCTTTGATATACGATGGAGCCAACCCGTGTAAGGATTGGTAGACATATGTCAAGATTTTATATTGTGGACGAAAAGAAACAGGTAGCCAATGAAGATCAGCTAGGATAGGTGTAATATGCTCCCGTTTCGATGATCTTGTAACTAAACGAGCTGCCGTGTTCTGGACTTTTTGAATCCGGTCTAGTAAGGCCTTTGACACTCCATATAGAAGGCAGTTCCCATAGTCCAGCCTGGCAGTGATAACGGCATTCACCATGGTCTTGCAGGCTTCTTTTGTAAGAAAGCGCCGTATTCGTCCAATATTGCTTATTTGAAAATAGCATGACTTGACGACCGAGGATACCTGTTTTTCCATAGTAAGGTGTTGATCGAAAAATGCACCTAGATTTTTTACACATGGCACGCTTTCAATGATATTATCACCAACTTTTAGTTGTAATGTTGGCAGATACTTCTGGTGTTGCTTTGTGGAGAAGATTATTAGCTCGGTCTTTTCTTGGTTTAGTTTGAGTAGGTTTGATGTCATCCATGAACCAATTTCACTAAGACACGCTTCAAGTCGAGAGAAGTAATTGTTCCAATTTTCCAGTGGTCTTATGATCATGTAGATTTGTGTATCATCTGCATAGCAGTGATATATCATTCCATGGCGGTGGCATATGATTCCAATGGGTTTGGAGAAGAGGCAATACAATTTCGGTCCGAGTACAGATCCTTGGGGGACACCAAAAGGCAGCTGTCTAGACTCTGATCGGACGGATCCAATTGTGACACATTGTTTTCTGTTCTTGAGGTAAGACTTGATCCACTCAAGAGGTCCATCACGGAAACCATAAGACACAGTTAGGCGTTGGAACAATATATTATGGTCAATAACATCAAAAGCAGCGGATAAATCCAAAAGGACAAGGACTGCTGAAGATTGTTGGTCTAGGGCTGTCACAATATCGTTGTGGACCTTGATGAGGGCCGTTTCCGTGGAGTGCCTGGGACGATATGCCGACTGAAGTGGATCGCGAAGAGAATTCGCATCCAAATGGGCATCAATCCTACGAGCCACAACTTTCTCCAATATTTTTGAGATAAAACTCAAGTTCGATACGGGCCGATAGTTTTTCAACACTTCCTTATCTAGTCCAGGTTTCTTAAGAAGTGGACGAACTATGGCCTCCTTCCAAGCAGACGGAAAAATTCCCTGATCGAGAGATGCATTAACAATTTCTGAGACAAGCGGTATTACCGGATCCAGGCACTTTTTCAGTAGCTTTGTTGGAATTGGATCCAGTTCGCATGATTTACTGGGTGCCTTCATTATTAGTGAACGTACTTCATCTTCAGTGGTACGTTCAAAAGCAGCTAATAGAGGCCCTTGATAGTATACGTCTGTGCCTAAATAGCTGTCTTCTTTTTCTGTTTTTTGTTTAAGTGTCTCTCTGATGGATGTTACTTTGTCTATGAAAAACGTTGAAAATTTATTTGCAAGATCTTCATCTGATGGTGATGTTGGTAGGGGACTCTCCTGATTCTTACCCATCAATAAATTCGTCACCCTAAAGAAGTTTTTCAGATCATATCTAAATTCCTGAATTTTAGTAGAATAGAATTCTTCTTTTGCCTTGTGTAGTAATTGGCCTGTTTGCTTACATTCCGCTTTAAAAAGCTGGTGGTGTATTTCCAGTTTAGATCTACGCCAACGTCTTTCCGTTTTCCGCTTCTGTTGTTTCGCTGTCCTGAGCTCGTCTGTGTACCACTCTGTGTTAGCTCTTATAAGAATTGACTTGCTAACAAGAGGCGCATGAGTGTTTAGAATATGCGAGAGGCATTTGTTGTACCCTTGTACTAAATGGTCAACAGACGTGTTCTCATTTCGTGCGGATTCATCTTGTAGTTGATTTTTAATATCTCTACTCATGTCATATATGTTGATATTCTTGAGCCTTCTAAACGTAATCTCTTTACGTTGATGTTGTGGCTTTCTGCAGTTGAACGTTGCATGTATAGCATAGTGGTCACAGCACAAGTTTCCTTTCACATCACTCAATGAAGGATTTTTGACTTGAGGACGTGAATATAGTATTTCACTAGATGATCGTGTGATAAGCAAGTCTAGGATATGTCCGTGAACATGGGTCGGCTCGTCCACGTGTTGTATAAGGTTGCGATCATCAAGGGATTGTAACAACCTGCTTGCCTCAGGATCACTACGATTGTCGACGTGAAAATTGAAATCACCAGTGATTACTAGGTCTTGGGGAAATATAGTATTCTGATCAAGATAGGTGTCCCATTCTGAGAAGAACTGACTGGTAGTTAAACCATTCACAGTAGAAGGTGGCGGTCTGTAAATGATACATAGATTCATTCTCATGTCTTCTATTCGGACTGTAACTTCTAGATGTTCGAATTGAGTGAAAATATCCGAGCTTGTGTTCAGAACGGTCACATCAATTCCCTTCTTAAAGACAAGAGCTATTCCACCACCACGGCGTCCACTGTTGCGATCTTGACGAATGATTTCGTAGCATGATGGTTTCAGTTCATTCACAACAGCTTCATCAACAGAGGAACCTAACCAAGTTTCAGTCAATGCGACTAAGTCAAGGTCCTCTGTAAGTATATAGTCACATATTGATAGTGATTTGTTTTTAACTGATCTGCAGTTAAGAGAAGACAATGAAAACAGCTTTGAACTTGGTCTTATGTTTTTCAATTTCACTTTCGTGAGTGTTTGAATTCTGTTTTCCGTACCAACTTTTCTTGGTTTACCATACGTAATGCGAGTGTTTATCTTACACACCGCATCCGTACCGTAGGAAGTGTTTAGGTCAAAGATCTTTGGTCTTGACAAATTTGAATCATTGCGACTGTTCGGATAATCATTTCTCTTTACTCGATTTTGAATCAATGTTGGGATTGGGAGAGCTTCGCATGGTTCATCAGAAACTTTCAAGGAAGATGAAGGATTCCTTAGTATATCATCGAAGATACACACCAGGTTATCTCCATTAACCCCCAGTTGATGTCCTTCGTATCTCAACCGCCCACCACAGACAGTGTGGATATGCCTGATGACCCTGCGTCCAGCCTTCGTCCCCCTTCTGAAACGAAAAGTATCCGTACGACCTGGTACACCAGCAACACATGGTCTTACAAAACACATCGTACGACAACTATATTTCTAAGTTGAGTACGAAAATATGTGGAACGACTTAAGACACAATGGAAACACAAGAATAAGATAACTCGTACCAGTAGAGCCAGAATAAAGTCACACAGAACATATATATCTAAAATGAGTACGAAAGTATATGGAACGACTTAAAACACAACAGGAACACAAGAACAAGATAGCTCGTACAAATAGAATTGCGATAAAGTCACGGTTCAATGAACCTAATAACCAAACATTATTTTAAAAAATTACTAAAAAAGCAAGGTTTTTGAGAAAAATGGAAATCTGCTCTTGATTAAAAAGGCTATTACAAAAATGCACAACAAATCTTAAAACTGGAACTACAGCAATAAAGGAGAAAACAAGCTAAATAGTCAGAGGTGGAGCTGCCATGTCATAGCGCTAACACACTCATTTATCACTTTATCACATTTATCATGAAAATTCATCGAAATTTATTTAAAGCATAGTTGTCATGTACTGTGAACTACTTTCTTATATTGGTAAAAGGTGAAAAAGTACAGTCAAACTTGTTTTAAGCTTTGGGAAGTCCAGAAACTAGCCACTTAACACAGGTGGCCTCTTATTCCAGTTTGCCCAAGAAGTAGCTAGTCAGTCAATAAATAAACAGCAATAACCACTACAGTTGATTTAATTAAACATGTCAATTTCACAAAACCTTTGTATGTGTGTATATATATATTAATCCATGCCTATTTAAAAAAAATATGAAATTAAAGAATTCCAAATTAAATTTTTAAGGTTTTGTGCATTTTTCTGTTCCTACAAAACAGTTCATAAGTGTTCAGAGTTCCAGAAACGCACCGGTCCACCGGGGATCCCCGGTGAACTTTGAATGGGACCGGTAAAATCTTAATTTTATTGGTCCAAATGTCCGATGGTTTTTTTTTTACAGACTGTATAACCTTTACATATAATCTTAACAAAATCATTTAATTCAATTGTCCTGACAATAAACAAATGAAAAACTAAAGGAATGAAAAAAAAAACGTCAGGGCATCGCCAGATCTCTTGTTTAAATAAAATGTAGACGTTGATTGTCTACTATAAAAAGCTACATATTAAAATAATAATTTCCATAAGTCTGGGAGGAAAAACAGTTTTAAAAACACTGTCAACAAATATTTTCCCTGATAAATATATGCACTCTGTAGTTCTGACTAGTAAAAAAAATGTGACAATCTACTTTCGTTTTGAAGGACGAATTTGCAGGGTTGCAAGAGTGCCTGCTATTTCTGCTTGATTACAGACAATTTGTTACCATTTATTATTTTCTCTATAATTTAATCTATTAGCATGATAATATTATACCAACTTCTGGATTTTTTTTAATGTATTTGATAGCATTTAAAATACAAGCGCGTTTTTCCCCTTTTCTAAAAATAGCGGATTGACTTGAATGTAGTAAAACGACAACAAATTCACTTAAAATCATCATTTTCATGATAAATTTGCATATCTTTATATCATTAGTACATATTTTTAACTGTGTGGAGGTTGTATAATAAATTTTAACTAGTCAGAAATATCGGGCGTTTTACCAGGCTTTTTAAAACGAGTTTGATATTTTACGTAATATTTTTCCTGGCACATAAAATACAAAAATCCAAAAGAAATAAGCCTGGAAAACAACATATTTTCCAAACAATCAACCAAGAGTTGTCATGTTGCAGATTTTATTTTTAAAAACATTTTAAAAATCTGTCAGAAAGGACATAATAAATTTATACGATGAATTAAGCGTTGGTCATCACACGCCTTCGGCGACGTCAAATCCTGCATACACAGGCCTTATACAAAATATTTCAATAATTTTTTTTTTTAAATCTGCCATCTTTTTATTTACACATATCATTTATTATATCGTTACAATTTCCAATCCTATAATATGTTAAATTTACATACAAAAAATTAATGTCCGGTAAATTTTACAACTGTCCGGTGAATTTTGAATATTTACAAGACAATTGTCCGACATATTTTTGACTAGTTTCGGGAACTCTGAGTGTTCTTTTGTAACATTCAAATCATTCAAGAAGAAATACATGTGCCTTACTACTATCTATTTTTTTAATAATAAAAAATATAAAAGCTTTAATTAAAAGACAGTTTAATGGTGAATTAAATAAAGTATAAAAATTTATATCAGTAAGTGTCAATAAAATTTATTTAAAAACTTCACTTTAATATGTTCAGGTAATGATCAGCAGTGTAACCCCCCCCCCCCCCTTTCACCATTAATCCTCGATCAACTACTTTGCTGAAGTTTTTAAAGTCTGGTAAATTTTTAATATTATTTTTATAAAGCTGTCGGAATTTCTATCTAACATACAGACACACACAAAAAATTATTCAATTGACCAAAGATTTGTATTAACGCAGTTTAAAATCATTCTACTACAACACAGGTGTCAAGTGCAGCAGAGCGTAACTAATCCCTATCGATCGTCTCCTGATGGTGAAATTCACGAGATAATCATGCTATACAAATCATTTGTTTTGACAAGAGTTGCAATTAGAGCTTCTACACGGAATCAAAATCTAACAGGTGTGAAAATACTGATAGACCTGTATTAGCTAAGTTACATACTCTCACTGTAAATTTTCAAAGTAATGATGAATTAATATATTGTAAATTACAAAATGAAGCTTTAACCTTGAATTTCTTTAAGTTTAGATATAGAAAAACTATTAATTGTGATTTAATTCTTTTAAATTTTCAATGGTCGATCTTGAAAAATAAGTACAAATTGATCTTACAGGACAATTATATTTTTTCCATTAACACAAAGAGAGTTATATATACGTATCTAAAGGTAATTTGTCTAATTTCTATAATAGGTGAATTTTTTTATCCGGCACATAATTACACAAGCGACTGTGTAAGCAATGTGACATATTGGGTATTTTAACAACTGATTAAAATGTCCTACACTCATTTTAAATAATAAACATTGATTGTCATTTATCAAATTGATATACCACTAAATTTTACAACCTAATTATACAACCCCATGTTGATTCCTACGAAGCCTACTTGATGCGAAAATTTATTGCAGTGACATTAATTCCATTTTTCCATTCTGATTTTTTCTCTATAGATTAAGGTACGATTACAAGAACATGTAAACAAATGTGTGAAGAGTAGATAAACAATTGGTACGTATCTAGAATGAATTGAGAGAGAGAGAGAGAGAGAGAGAGAGAGAGAGAGAGAGAGAGAGAGAGAGAGAGAGAGAGCAATTATACTACGAAACAGGATAAAATTAAAGCCAAAAATATTCAATTTTAAAAAATTTAAACACGGATGATTTAAAAATTAATCGGAAGGGGCGGAAGAGGCGTGAAAAATCCAGAGATTTTGTCTCCCGTCGGAAGAATCACAAGTATTTATGTTATGAGATATCTGCATGTAATTACCATACATATAGAGAAAATTCGAATTAAGAAAAAAACACGATCGTTTTTTAAAGTAAATAAGCCAAGTAGTACTCCAACACGGATTAAATTATGGAGATTTATTGACAGTTGGAGCATGTTATATGGAAAATTTAAATGGTTTGGATTTTTGTTGCAAAAAACGAGTGAAAATACGTACCAGGTGTGCTTTGCATGTATTGCACGTGTATAAATAATATTATCTTTTTTTACTGGCCAACGGGGCGACCCTCTTGCAGAAAACCACTAGCCCGACCCCCGGGTATCGGTCGATTTTCATTGCAGACCTCTGATTAAAAAAAGAACTATCAGTGCATTCATTATAATTTTTTTCACAAAAGCCCGTTTTCAATCGGTATGTGTTTATGTGGACTACAAGTGTCCTTTCCTTGACTTTAAATAAATTCTACAACTGCATAATGTACGTATGAATCATATCAAACAACTTACAAAGCTTTTTTTCAATGTGGTGCAATTAACAAAATAGTAAGACTTACTGCATGTGTTTCCGAATTTCCTCACTGCTAATCCAAACACAGCTAATTCCGTATTCTGCGCATGCGCAGTTAGTTTTAAATATATGCGCATGCTCAGGTATTCGGAACTCCTCGATTCAATTACCGAACTCCTCTAAACAGCAGATTTCTGAATGTCTGAGCGTTTTGGGCTAAGGACATGTCCAAAATTTGGACAAAGTCTTTGTGAGGTTAAATCTAATTTTAGGTTTTTCGACCTCATAGAGTAATTTTGAACGTAATTAGACCTCTTCATTATGGGGTTAACCCCACAGTACCCAAAAAACCCCACACTGCTGGAAAATACGTTAATTTTACCCCACAATGTACCTCTCGTAAGTCTGTCCGTCCGTCACTAAAACTTTAACCTTGCCCATAACTTTTGATTTAGTGGAGCTATAATTTTCATATTTCATATGTGTATTCCTTGTCATAAGACCTTTCTTTGGGTACCACCAAATTTGACCTTTTGACCTTGACCTTGGAGTTTCAACTACTTTTACTAAAAAATTCCAAACTTTTACTTTGGCCATAACTTTTGAATGGTAGGTACTAGGACTTTCATGTTTCACATATTTATTCTTTGTAACAAGACCTTTCAATGAATACCAAAAACTTTGACCTTTTGACCTTGACCTTGGAAAATTACGTACTTATGAAAAAACTATGTCCTTGACCATAATTTTTGAACGGTAAGGGCTACGGCTTTTATACTTTAAATATTTTATTGTTGTAAGAAGACCTTTCATTGGATACCAAGAACTTTGACCCTTTGACCTTGACCTTGGAGTTTTAACTCCTTTTTAAAAACGTTAACCTTGGTCAAAACTTTTGAACGGTAGAAACTAGGACTTTCATATTTTAAATATATGTATTCTTTATGGCAAGACCTTTCATGGGATACCAAAAACTTTGACCTATTAACCTTGACCCTAAAAATGATATCTTGCCCACAAAGATACCGAAAGCGGGGGACCACAATTCTTTGAATTTGCTTGTTACTTTTAGTTTATAAAGTTACAGACCCTATTGAATACCTTTCGGTATCCACACGTGAGAATCTTCCGCAATTTTAACTTCAAGGTGTTGGTCACCAGCTTTTTGTCCCCCGCTTTCGCAAAAGCAAGGGGATATTAAATCTCATTCGTCTGTCTGTCTGTCCGTCAGTCTGTCCGTCCGTCTGTCCGTCAGTCTGTCCGTCACAAAAACTTTAACCTTGCCCATAACTTTTGATTTAGTGGAGCTATGACTTTCATATTTCACATGTGTATTCCTTGTGACAAGACCTTTCTTTGGGTATTACCAAATCTGACCTTTTGACCTTGACCTTGAAGTTTGACCCACTTTTACACAAAAATTTCAAACTTTTACTTTGGCCATAACTTTTGAATAGTAGGTACTAGGACTTTCATATTTCACATATGTATTGTTTGTGGCAAAATCTTTCATTGGATAGCAACAACCTTGACCTTTTGACCTTTACCTTGGAGATTTACGTACTTATGAAAAAACTTTAATCTTGACCAGAACTTTTAAACGGTGGGGGCTAGGGCTTTTGTACTTTACATATGTAATCCCTGTGAGAAGACCTTTCATTGGATACTAATAACTTTTACCCTTTGACCTTGACCTTGGAGTTTTAATTACTTTTTAAAAACATTAACCTTGGTCACAACATTTAACCATTAGATAGTCAGACTTTAATATTTCACATATGTATTCTTTGTGGCAAGACATTTCATTGGATATCAACAACCTTGACCTTTTGACCTTGACCTTGGAGATTTACGTACTTATGAAAAATCTTTAACCTTGACCATAACTTTTGAACGGTGGGGGCTAGGGCTTTCGTACTTCACATATGTTTTCCTTTTGAGAAGACCTTTATTGGATACCAACAACTTTTACCCTTTGACCTTGACATTGGAGTTTTAACTACTTTTAAAAAAAACGTCAACTTTGAACACAATTTTTGAACGGTAAATACTAGGACTATTATATTTTAAATATGTTTTCTTTGTGGTAAGTCCTTTCATTGGATATCTATAACTTCGATCATTTGACCTTGACCTTAAAGATTTACGTACCTATGAAAAAAACTTTAACCTTGACCATAAATTTTGAACAGTAAGGGCTAGGGTTTTCATACTTCACATATGTTATCCTTGTGAGAAAACCTTTCATTGGATATCAACAATTTTGACCCTTTGATCTTGACCCTGGAGTTGACCTACTTTTAAAAAACTTTTTACTTTGGCCATAACTTTTTAATGGTCAGGATTAGGGTTTTCATCATTGAAAAAAAATCAACTTCAATGTTACTTTCTAAATAGATGACATATGATAGGATGTTCATATTACACACAATATGTCATAAAGATAACATCTCACCTACAAAGACACCGAAAGCGGGGGACCACAATTCTTTGAATTTGCTTGTCTTTGTTTTGTTTTTTATGAAGTAAAGTTAAGCCATTTTGAGATAATGAAACAATGTACGATTTACTGATTATTGTAATTAATTAGCATAATTAATTCGTTCAATTTTGTAAATCGCACTTCACCCGAGTATACCCGATAGACCGGACGCATTTCACAGCGGTCCGGATTTCTTTCTTTATAAGTGTTCTTAATATTTCCAATTCAACATGTAATTATGTAATAATCTATAGTAGTTTAGTAGTAGTGCTAGTTCTTTTTGTTTCTCTTTTTCCTTTGTTTTTATGACTTTTTAACTTTTTTCTTTGTCCTGAGGAAGGGACAGGGCGTCCCGAAAATTTGACAATTTTTATCGTTCGTGTCGTTGGTCATTTTAGTGCTTTATATATATATATATCTGTTTGAATAATCATGTACAGAAAAATTAAAAAGTTTAATCATATTTGTATTAATAATGATGCGAACGTCTTTATACGATTCATTGATGGAACAGCCACTGATCAAGAAATCTGTACAGGCGACATGCCTAATGTACATGTAGTTCATGCAGTGATTGATGCAATGAGTTTTCCTAAGAAATAAAGGATAAAATATTCAGTGGATGTTAATATGAACGGTACAACACAGTGATACATATCACTGCAGATACTTGATTTTCGTTATCTTATTGATATATCTTAGAGCAACAAACAGATTGTCATTTGTATCTACACACAGTCCCCATGGATCACTCAGTCCACATTGTATGTAACGGAGGAACAGTCCATCCTGGTCTATGATGTGGACACAGTCATTCTTATAATCAGCTGTAAGGATGTGACTCTGACTGTCTGTAGTGATTCCTCGTGGATTGAATGGTTTGTTCTTTGGAGCGGGAGTTTCTCCAGTGTACATGTACCTGAATCTCAGTTTCCCGGCCTGATTGACCACCACTACTGCTTTAGCTTTATTGTCCGACACACAGATATCCAGGTTCCAGTTCTCAGTTATGTATCTGGTACCAGGTGAATAGAGAGGATTACCTTTATCATCAAACTCAATGGTTTGTTTCTCTGTGGAGCCAGAGTAACGGACAACTTTTGTTTGTTTTTTATCATTACTGTAGATGATAACCAGGAGGTCACCAGAGGAGGTACTACAGACACCACGAGGTCTCCAGTTCTGTAATCTGATCACCTCCTCTATCTTCTCATTCTTCACAATATTCACAGTTCTATCATTGTAATCAGTATAAACTAGATCTCCACTTTTTGTCACTGCTATGTCAGTTGGCCATTTCCCTGACTTGGTTGTGATTGACTTGAGTACTGATCTCTGATTGATGCTGTAGAGTTTCATGGTGATGTCATATCCACTTGTCCAGATTTCTTCATCACTCAGACAGGCCACATTGTAAAGGCTTCTATACCAAGTGTCTATCGCGGTGACAGTCTCTGGTTCATCAATCAGCTGTTTGACTGGAGGAGAGGATCCAGCTTCTGGTGATTTTTGTGTTGTCTTCATACTCTTGCCATGTTTATCTAAAGTTGAAGAACTTGATGATACGGTTCCAAATAGTCTACTCAGTTCTTCTTCTCCACTTTTTCCAGGACTGAATTTAGGTAAAGATAACATAATTCTGGGAGGAAGATTTCTGTATACATGTACATTAGATGTAACACAAAAGAGCTTTGAAATGTCATTAGCATCTATTGCGGTTTCCAATGAATTGATTTCATCCTTGATGTCAGCCATTGTCTTGTTTATTTCATCCAGATGTTTCTGTAGAGTTTGTAAATGTGTGTTTTTCATCTCATCAACTTCAGCTTTAAGTTTCTGGACAAGTTTGTCAATTTCTCTGTGCCAGTCCTCTCCATGTTTTGTTATGGCTGTTGAGAGATCTCCATATTCCTTTTCTAACTGACTCATTCTGTTTTGTACATCAGAGGCAATGTCCTGGTAGGTGGGATAGATTGTCTCATTTAGTTCAATTTTCTCTTTTGAAACTGTGTCTTTCTTTTCATTCAGAACTCGCAAGATTTTAGATAATCCATGACCCAAATGTTGATTAGATTCAAGGCAGTTGACACAGACAGGAATGTCACATTGATTACAGTACATTTCACATCGTTCTTTGACATGAGATTTACATCCAGGGTAGAGGGGAGTGGATTTTCGAAGCTTGAATGAGACAACTTCATGTTTTTTTGATTCATCAGAGATCATGTGTTCTCCCACACAGGCCTTACACAGGGTGACAAGACATGTATCACAGTACATTTGTACCACAGTGGTCTCACACAGGTCACATCGCATCACGTCCTGGGCACTGGTACGGGGGTCCATAATTTTAGATTCTGTAATTATACCTGTCAAAGTGTAAAATGTCCAACATTATAGTCTTGGATCGATAGACCTAGGTATCTTAGACATGTTACTGAAAATATAACGTTTTTTTCAAATCTAGCTGCACTCAAGATTTTCTGGAAGAAAAACGGATGGGGGGGGGGCTGCATGAATAACCTTTGGAGGGTCGTTGACTTTTAAGACTTTATTTCTATGACTTCTCATACCAACTGAACGCAGATCTACAATTAATTTCTAGTAGTTTCAAGGTGAGTTTAATAACTCTAAAAAATCTGAGGGTAGGGGTGTCCGCCCGACCAGGGCCGTTCTAGATACGCGCATATTTTAACTGCTAAAAAATGGGCTGTTTTAGTCAAAAATTGCTAAAATGACAGAAAATGGTAAATATCATGATGTCATACAATGTAACAAGTTTTCTCCCCCAAATTAATGGCAGTTTGATAAATTTAAAATCCACAAAACTATCACATTTATAGCTCTACGAAGTATATCTATGTATAAACTAAAGTTAAACTAGTATTCAGTTGAACGACACATCATAATTATGATTGTAGACGGATAAGTCATTTTCTGCGGAATTCCTTAAATCTTTGTGAAAAGGAGAAAAATTGTTCAGGAATGCTAAAATTACGCCTCCTATTTTCCTTACCTGACTTCAGTAACGGTGGCCGCGTCCTATTGATAATCTCTAATTCACGTGACGTAGCTGTCAGTGTGTTATCTACCTGTCAGGTGATTTAATTGTTTTGCTTAAATTGTCCATTAAATGATGAAATCACAATATCCCATTTTTATGTATCAGGATTCATTCACGTCACCTATTGCTATATCTGTTCAGTGGCGGATCCAGGAACTTCGTCACGGGAGAAGGGGGGGGGGCAAAAGAAAGCATAGGGTCAGGTGGCTGTACTGAAGCCACCATTGGGTCTAATGCAAGGTCCTTTTTGGAGGTCTGGGGACGTAACCCCCGGAAGCTGACAAGTTCTAACGAATAAGAGATGTTTTTCCTTGATTCAGGATATATAGACATATATAAATTTTACATACAAAAAATTCAAACCAGGGACGGGGGACGGGGGGGGGGGGGGGTGTTAACCCAGTATTCCGATAGTCTGACAGCCTGGTAATCTGATAGTCCAACATCCAGTCATTACAAAATAGTAAAATTTGACCTTTCACCCTCTGGAAACACACTCCCTTGAAAAAATGCTTTTTAATGTTTTTTTTATTCCTCAGATAGTTTGATTTTTTTGTGCCCTTTTTAGGTCACCTGAGTAACTCAGGTGACCTATTGCTATCCGTTTTCGTCCGTCGTCGTGCTTCGTGTGTCGTCACTGTCGTGCGTCGTGTGTTAACATTTGAACATTTTCATCTTCTTCTCTGAAACCACTGAACCAATTTCAACCAAATTTGGTATACAGCATCTATGGGTGAAGGGGAACAAAAATTGTGAATTTTATGGTCCTCGTCCCCCTGGGGCCTGAGGGGTGGGGCCAAAACCACTAAAATTATTGCAATCTTTAAAAATCTTCTTCTTTACTTCTGTACATCAAGCAGGCAAACTGAGAGAAATTTTTTTTTAATTATTTGGATATGTAACTATTATACCCCCTCTAAAATTGTATCAAGGAATTAAAAGGCAATTTCTGTCAAACTTTTCGGAAATTTCCTGCAATGTATGCTGAAAAAAATCAATCTGATTAAAATCAAATCCTTTGATCCGCTCCCGTATATCGCTACATGTGTAGCTATCTACCGGAGCGGATCAAAGGATTTGATTTTAATCCGATTGAAAAAAAATTAACCATGTGAATGGGATTGAAACAAATAAATCGATCTTTCTCTAAAATTTATCAGATACAGCTATAAAGTTTAATCATTCAAAGCAAAAATTGAGACAAAAACCGAAGAATGAAATATTGAAGGGGAAATTGGGCTATTTTTAAAAATGAGGTTATTTCTCTCCATAAAATCAATTTCCATTTATTTTTAGATGACAGTTGATCTTGAACCAAAATTTGTAGTTTGAACATTTTTGGATTCTTCCCTGGAGTTGAAGAGTTCCACTAAATGAAGGACATGTGTGCTATATTTTTAATGTCTATATATGGATTTGTACACCTCTTTTAAAACAATTTTTGATTAAAAAAAATCGTGAATTTATGTTTTATAATTTTTGAACATTTTTATTTGAATAATGCAAAAAATTTCAAAATTCGATATCTTTTCAAACCCCTGGTAACGCATGCTGATTTTTTGTCTAAAAACATGTAATGATATTATAAGTTTAAATTTAGGATATCTTGGAAAATTTTAAGTAGATAAGGTACCTTGCGTATGTTCTTAAAAAAAACAAGTACCAAATATCTATCTAAAACATATTGGACGTATCTTGCTTTTCTTGTGAATTCCTAAGATCTACATGTATCTGGACCAAGAAATAATTGCTATTAGTAACACCTGGCTTGTATTTACCTCTAAATAACAAGCATTAAGTAAAGAAGAATAAAATAAATTATAAATGATTTATTCAAGTGTATTATTTTTTCATAGTATATATAATTTAATATGTACAAGTAACGATTTGAGTTTGAAGTCTCTCACAATGAATTTGGACAACATGAGGTCTCTTCACGGTTCATTACAGTCACAATCACAAAACCCTACCCCCTCATAACATGAACGGCAGATCCAGGTTCTTCTCTCCGTTACCCACGTAACAGGATCCGTATAGACGGGTGCCGGGGACGTGATAACTAATGTAACCTAACCACAACAAACTCCTGAGGGTGACCAGTCCACTACCACGCTCAAACTGTAGACTCCAGGAACCTAGTAACAGAACAAAGCTATAGGTTAGAGATGTATTTATGTTTAACATTGTGTAATTGTTCCATTAATAAATTATCTCTTTTCTAAATTTTGTAAATTGTGTCCACATTTTTAAATCAATAAAAAAATAGAGAGGGAAGTAACTGGATTGCATTTTTGATTATTGATTGTCAAAAGTATAAATTTTCAGTTTATGATAAAAGAGGGGGGGGGGTAATTTTTGGCCGGGTTGCCCTCTGACCTTTAGGGATATCCTCCTCCAGTGTATCCATGAAGTCGATAGCCTTGTCCAGGTTAGCCTTCTGTAGCAGAGTCTTCTCCTGGAGGCTGATAGGTTCACGGAAGTGCATGTAGGAGCACAGCTTGGCTGATTCCGAAACGGACAATCCTGGATACAAAAAAAAATGTGAGTTGTAATGCAAAATGTCAAGATTTAGCTATAAATTGAACAACTGAAAAAATCCAATAACATGTACCAATAAATAGTGATAATTATCAATGATATTAATTAAGCTGGAGTAAATTAATGAAGAGTTCACATTGAATTTATTTTTAATCTAAATTAAATGTCTTTAAAATGAGCTACCTTCAAAACTTCTATTTGCGATGACTTTTCCTTCTGGTGTCTTGATGAAGGCTGCTCGTGGAACAATTTTCACATCTTCATCAATTTCAGCAATAACAGAGGACAACCTGTCTTCTTCTTTGATTGTTATCTACAAAAAGTTTAAGGTTCATATTTATATTCAATAAACTAAAATTATTACTGTACTGTGTTACAATGTAAAAAAAATTTAGGAAGTTAGAAAAACAACAAAAACAACAACATTCTAAGTTGTGATGTTCAAGCTATATGTATTAGGGACTATTGTACAATGCTGCAAGAAAATTACGTACACCATGACCAAAACCTCAAGCATAAAATTTTGTGCAATGTATATTGACCTTTACAATGTACAACAAATCAATATTGCCCAAACCAAAGTGTTAATAAATCATTGATATACTGTAGTATGTTGGACTCTAAATATACATAATGCTTGCTGATTTTCCCCAAATCCCTTAAAAATATACCGTATTATCAACATGTTCTCTCAATTCTCCAGTGGTGGTCGAGAATCGCATTTTTGTTTTCTAAAAAGATTATCTAGGTAATCTGACAGAAACTTGTATTTTGTTTCAATTGTTTAAAAAATACCACAATATAAAAATCTAATTTAACATGATACATCTAGTGACTAATATTTGATATCATGTTAATCATTGTTTATTTTTCTTTCTCACAAGCACTTTCAAATAAGCTATTTTGATGATGAATAGTAATGAGCAGCTGTTACACATGCTATTTTTATTTATCAGACACTGACCGTTTCCTCCTCCCCGGGTTCCTCTCCATCCTCGGCTTTCTTCTGTTCTGTGTGCTCAAATTCATAGGATGGATCCCCGGTAAATCTACCTTTGGCTAGCTTGCTTTGTTCCCTCATTGCTTTAGTTGCTGGTGGCAAAAGACCCCAGTGGACACAATCTTTGCTGTAGAACAAGGTATAAGTTCAAATAATTTTCTAAGTATACTGATCATTTCCTGTTTTTACTATTAATCATGTTGAAAAAGTGAACAATATTGACATTAGATTATTGAAAAAAACATACCTGTAGAAAGTTTTCCTGTCCTCCATTTCATCTCTCCCAACACCTTGTGCAATGAAGTAATCATCTTTTACACCAAGAATTTTACCCCAGAAGTAAACTCTGTGAAATTTACCAGAATTCTTTAAAATAACAAGCGAAGTCTGTAAAGCGGCCTTTTGTTCTGGACTCAGAATAATTCCGCTACTTCCAACGTAGTCAATGTTAAGATGAAGACCCTCTGAATCCATTTTTGTGATGTTTATTCTTCTTCAGTGAAGAAACTCCTGTGGAAATCAACAGCAAACAACAGTGTGTTGTCACAGTCAGCTCTGTTGCCAAGGAGAAGTAAACAATGCGCATGCTTGAAAGGATCTTGATCTTTGATACGCTTTGAACTAGTTTGATCAAAATGTATTCGTGAATTTATAATAAGGTCACATTTTGAATAAAATAAGTCACAAATATTGTTTAATTATTCAGTGAAATAAAGGTGTCAAGTAAAATATCCATATAATTAACCATGATAAAAATTAGTCAACTTGGTAAATTTTTATTCTAAGAACAACTTAATGAAAATTAGCATTTCCTGTCTGTCGTGTCAAAACTGAAAGTTAGAAACGATAGAAAAGATATGAATTTGTAGCATCCTAATCCCAGTTAAATCGCACTGTCGACCGCCGAAATTATGGAAAACGAGAGTATTGTCCTTTTAAGTGTTCCGTCGACACAGACAATTACCAATTCAAACACGCGCGTTTTTATAAACAAAGAGTACAACAGGAGAAAACATAATGACTACGATCAACAAATAGATGTCAACTGGAACAAAAGAGTCTCGGAAAATCCGAAGATTTTTAATGGAACTAAATTTCGCCTATCGTCTGTTTCTCTTTCTAATGATATTTTGACTTTGAACTTGGGACTGACATGTTATAAGGATTTTTTAGGAACAAATTGGGGTAAGAATGCTAAGGTCTTGGCTGAGGACGGTGTCCGGGATTTTCAGGACAGCCAGGCATACATGTCTGATCCGCTGGGAGTCGGCACGATTGTCCTGACGACGGACGATAAGGTTATTTTCCTAGTTAGGAGTGAACATTGTGCAGAAGCACCAGGGATGTGGGATGTTCCAGGGGGTCATCCAGAGCCACAGGTAATGATAAATTAACATAGGCAGATATAACAAATATAATGTGTAAACTTCACTTAATATATAAAACAAAAATAAGTAGACTGTTATGCACTAACAATCCATTATATCCTCCACAGGTAGGTGAAAACATAAAAAAAAAGTCAAGGATCCTTTCAGACTAACAAAAAATATTTACTGACCAGCACATGTACACACAAATTTTATGATCAGAATTTTTTCTTCAGGAAATTGTTGGAAAGATTCCTTTGGAGGAAATAAAGTTTTCGGATCTGAATGAAGAAAAAGTTGTGCGTGAGATTTATGATTCAATAATGAGAGAAGTTGTTGATGAAGTGAACATTCCAGCTTCCTCCCTCTCACAACCAAACTTCATTGGTGTGGCTCAAAATATTTCTGCAGCAAGGCGTCCAAGTGCTGAGTTTATAATCAGGTAAATATTACTTGTGATGGTTCCAGTGTATAGTAAAATATGATTTTTGCTGACACACTAATAACAAATTTAAATTTGTGGTGAGATATTTTCAATCACAGTCTGTGATCTTTCTACCATAATGGATATACATATCTAATGAATTCTGTTCATAGCAAATCAAAATCTCTCATCCCTGCTATAGTAATGGTGTTTTACTGCATAATGTCCCATTATCAAATACAATTGGGTATCTCGAACACTGACATCTGGGAAACCAGGACATGCCAGAGCAATTTTAAAGTCCCTTATTTCATAAATCCTCATTTATCTCAAAATATTTCCTTGCTTCCCTCAAGTTCTAGATAAATTAAGGTTTGACTGTAGTGTATTATGTTATAAGTATCATTATCATCTGTTTCAGGTGTAGTTTGTCCTCGTCAGAAGTTAGGGACCTGTACACCAAAGGAAACCAGGAGGAGGCTTACGAGTCTACAAACGTCCAGTTTATACCCAGGGACACTGTGCTCAGCTTAACACCGAGTCATGAGATGTGGGGCAATCTAGCTCCATCCGCCAAAGGCTGCGTCATGTTGTACAAATTATATAGTAACATTCACTGATACTGTGGTTTTATTTTATTATTTTAGGGGTGGGTGGTCAGATTTTTATGGTTTTTGGCTAAAAATAAATTTTTTTACCAACAACCTCATATTCTTTTCTTTCATTCATGAAATTTTCATTTCTGATCACCTTATTATTGGTTTGGCTCACGTTATGAAAACAGCAATTCATTGTAAAGAATTTGTTTGCATTACATAAAAACGAAAAAGTGTTTTATATAGATTTTTATAAATGTATAATATGGGGAAAATAAATTATTTGAAATAAAACTACAATGTCTCATTTTGTTGATTGTTTTATAGAAATGTGGTTTCGATTTATACAAGGCCATGCCATACAAGATTCATGATGAAAAAGTCTAATAGAATTATGTAAGATTGCAGGACACCTTGAATATCATCATCTTGAATAGGATAAATTATATAAATTTAAGGTTATCCGATCCTCAGGTTCTGAAAATCAGGCATTGCGTAATTGAAAATACTCACAAAGATGTCTCTAAATTCTCAAATTAAAATGTATTTATCCATGGTGTTTCTTTAAAATCCATCTTTAAATTTAATCATATTATATAGGGAAAATTAGTAAATCTCGAATAATTTTTCAGGAAATGTGATTTGAACTACCCACTGCCTATTTTTTAATTGATAATTGATCAAGAAAAACATTTTAGGTATAAAAATCATAGGTATCCAGGCTTTTAAAGAAAATTGCATGAATTTCACAATTATTTGGACTTTACTTTCTCCTACGTACTTCCATTGTTTGATAACGCATAGTGTATGAAGTGTTTCCTTTCAAAGAAAACACTGTAAATCACTTCTAATTTCAAATCATGCATATAAACATTGGAAACTAAGGCTAAATTAAAAGAAGATTGATTTTTTTTTAAATATGCAAGTTTTACTTCATATTATGAGGCACAGATGTCAACTTTTTAAATAACGTTTGTTAAAACTTTAAAGACCATTGAATCATACGTAGAGGCATAAAATGAAAATTGTTGCATGAAAAAATTTCAATTTCAAACCTTATTTTAATACTTTTTGAATTTAATTATAAATTAAAGAGTTATCCTTCCTGGCTGAGGATCGTGTATCCTTAAGTAACAATTGACTTTGGGATTTATTTTCTGTCTGTTTTTATCTTTCTTGAGTCCCTCTTCAGCCTTCAGTCCATAAATTTTCAAGGTCAACCAGGTGATTTTTTTTTCTTTTTGAGTAACCAGTTTTTGACTGACAGGAAACAGCCAAGGAAGAAAATCTTGACGTTCCAAAATTATGAATGAGCAGAGGTTTTAAGAATCCAATTTTCTTAAGTAAAAAAATGATTCCTACACAATGATTTCTTCACCTCAATGGCTACCACTATGAAAACTTTAAATTGAACTAGAATTGTCCAATAGGGACAAATACCCCCGCTGGGATTTTCAGAGTAGGTACCAATTCAGAAAAATTTTATGGATCTAGTAAGGGGTGTTCACTATTGTCTAATAAAGTGCCCTGCCACATCATGATACGCCCATCAAATATTGTTCGATAATCATAAATTGGTTAGGGTGCAAGAAAATCAAGTAACCTTGATTAACAGATTGACACAGATTTCAATGATCTAATTTCCATTTCTTATCATGTTTAAAATATTGTACATACATCTCTAAGAGACTGTGTAGGGATTAATAAAAACAATTCTAAACCGGTTGCGTTAGAGCTTAACAAATATCCATCTGCAATTTTAAATTGTTTATTGCATATTTTATGAAATAATGGAAATGTTACAGTCTGATAAAAAAAAAATCAAAAATTAATTATTCTTTAGACTATAAAATTCTAAGTGAGACATGACTGCAATTTGTTGCAAATAGATAAAAATTGAAATGTAATTTTTTTCAATGAACACAAGTATAATTAATTTTAATTGTATTATACAATACTAATTCAGTTTTAATCATATTTACTAAAACATCAATTTGTTTTAATTACATTACACCAATTGAAAGATCTTTATCTGAACTACAGCCATCAAGAACTCTTAATTAACACAAGCAACTATAAGGCCATTTCTTTTTGCCCAACTCCCAAGAGATGAATCAAGATAATACTGCATGATGCTCTTGCCAGTCTCCTGACAATGAACTCATTAATTTCTCTCTAATTTGACATGCACATTTCTGCTATCAAAAATTCTCCTTGACCAGTGCTTGATAATTATGCCCATGGGACAAACTGAATTCCTTTCAAATCATAAGCATTTGTTACAAAATTTGCTGTAAAGTGTATGATAAAAATTAAGTTTTTACTTGATTTAGCATTTTGAAATGAGGATACAACTATATTTTTACATTTTTTAGGATTATGAAATTTTAAATTTTAAAGACTTAGTTTTTTTTTTTTTTAAAAAAATCACTTAAATTAGAGGTCACAGTGACCTTGAAATAAGTTGGGACACACCGTCTTCCCAAGATGCATAAATTGTCCAAGTTTGATGATTGTAAGTCTAATAGTTTTCTAGTTATGAGCCAAACAAAATCACAAAATAAAAAAGAAAAAACACCTGTAAAATGCAGAAAAATCATCCAATCATGATGAAAATCCCAGGTGCACAACTTCATATGGTGAAAAATAAGTGTATAAATTTTCAGACAAATCCATCCAACAGTTTCTGAGAAACGGTCCGGACAGACAGACAGACAGACGGACAGACAGACGGACATGGTGATTCCAATATACCCCCCTAAACTTCGTTTGCGGGGGTATAATAAATACCTCATTGCGAGGATTTAAATTGAATAAAGAAGGAACCTCCAATATATGATGGAGGGTACTACAGATGAGACCTTAAAAACTAGATCCTGTGTCATGGAAAGCATTGACACATCAAAGATCCTTCACTGCTCAAAGACCCCAAGTGCCGAATAAAGGTCAAAATTTAAAGCCCTTAATCAGTTTATGGTGACATCTCTACCTAATTGAAAAATTCTCAAATGGGACGTAAAACAACATTCAATCAACAATCCATTATGATTGCCAAGGGAAATAAATCTGGCTGAAATCATATCTATTGAAATATTTAAAACAAGCGATGACCTCTATTTTAGTTTATTAAAGAGACACATTAACACTTTGAACACAGAGATCTTCTATTAATGGTGAATTTTAATATCGTCCTAATCTGATGATTAGCAATGGCACTCAAAGTATAATTAAAATCATATAAATACCATTCTATAGAGTACATTCTTTGCTTTACAAAGCTTTTATATATCTTGATTCTAGAAAAAGAAAAAAAAGCTGCCCATCATAATTTTAACAGAAGTCCCACTAAAACACATCAAACTTTTTATATGTCTATTATTTATACAAAGAGTTGTCATTAACCATGAAGTATGGAAGCTGGGCTATACACGAGAAGTTTATTAGTAAAGCTGGCATGGAACAAAAAAGCAGCTACAACAAGACGTCAGAGTGTGTTCTAGGAACCACCACGATTACTGATAATTATCTGTCACCACTAGAAACACACGGGGGGTTAGAGTCGGGCGGGCGGTCAGTCCTGACAGGCCGCCATCGCCATGTTCTTCTCTTCCACCAACTCCTTCATGGTGATGTCCATCTTCTCCCGCGAGAAATCGTCGATCGGCAGGTCCTTGATGATCTCGTACGTGTGATCGGGTTTGGTGCGGACGGGAAAGCTGTAGATCAACCCCTCCTCAATGCCATAGGAACCGTCCGAGGGAACCGCCATAGACACCATGTTACCCTGTCATCAAAATTATGTACCAATAAAGTTAAACAAGTTTCATTTTTATCAATTTTTTGAAAAAAATTGTAAGGAGCCAAAATATAACATCAATTTTCAAATGAAATAAGTCTCAAAATAAAATACTAAGTACAGGAACCTATATACTAACTACTTGGTAAATAGGTCCCTGGTTGAGTACATGGAGGTATTAATTTGTAGTGACAGTTTTGAGAGACTGTCAATCATTAGTTTGCTCTGCCGTTTCTTTTTAAAGACAACACTCTAGACAGATCTTAAACTACACTGTGCGGCATCAAAATGCATGTGACCTACTTTCTTTCAAATTGTCAAGATACCACATATTAAATACATTATCGTTACAAAACATGACATTGGTTACCTCAGGAACTCCAAACCACCAGTCATGTACGTGGTCCACGATAGCTTTAGCGGCAGACATGGCGCTGGACAACTTCCTGGCAGCGATCACAGCGGCTCCTCTCTGCTGGACCGTCTGTAATAACATGTAAGAGGTTAGTCATTTTCATTACCAGGTAACTTTAACACGAGTACCCGGTATATGAATTAGTTCTTATCTGTACATGTTGTTACTTTGTACAAATCAAAAATAAGCATTTGTTTTAGCATCTAGAGTTTAAAGAATCTGCTCAAATATGTCACACAATGTAAGGAGAAAACCTTATACCTCTTACTTAAAGAGCAAACCAAAAAGAATTTTCATTAAATGTAGTTTTGTTTAACATTTACTTGCTTTTAAACTCATAAACTTTAAAAACACTACCTTGACGAAGTCGTTCTTGACCCAGTTATCATCCTTGATGGCGTCACGAGCCTTGACTTCTTCCCCCTTCACGTTGACGACGGCGTAGGTCAGATCTGGATACTGTGTGGATGAATGGTTCCCCCAAATCACACAATTACGTACAGCGCTGTTAGGGACTCCTACACGGGCCGCCACCTGTAAATAGACACCAATCAAACAGTCTGGAACAAAACTGTACGGGACCCCTAAACAGGTGGCCACTTATAAATAAACACTAGTAATCATATTCTGATAACCTTGAATTTTTCTCTTTTTCCAGTAAATTTACCTTAATGTTTTACTTCCCAATAAACTTATGAGTTTTTCAACTAAATTGTGTACACATAATGTATGTGTACTTATTAAAGTAAGCTTCATATACTTGGGGGTGGGTGGGTGGGTATATCTTACCTGTGCCTGAGCCCGGTTCTGGTCAGTATATCTTACCTGTGCCTGTGCCCGGTTCTGGTCAGTATATCTTACCTGTGCCTGTGCCCGGTTCTGGTCAGTATATCTTACCTGTGTCTGTGCCCCGTTCTGGTCAGCATATCTTACCTGTGCCTGTGCCCGGTTCTGGTCAGTATATCTTACCTGTGCCTGTGCCCGGTTCTGGTCAGTATATCTTACCTGTGCCTGTGCCCGGTTCTGGTCAGTATATCTTACCTGTGCCTGTGCCCGGTTCTGGTCAGTATATCTTACCTGTGCCTGTGCCCGGTTCTGGTCAGTATATCTTACCTGTGCCTGTGCCCGGTTCTGGTCAGTATATCTTACCTGAGCCTGTGCCCGGTTCTGGTCAGTATATCTTACCTGTGCCTGTGCCCGGTTCTGGTCAGTATGTCTTACCTGTGCCTGTGCCCGGTTCTGGTCAGTATATCTTACCTGTGCCTGTGCCCAGTTCTGGTCAGTATATCTTACCTGTGCCTGTGCCCAGTTCTGGTCAGTATATCTTACCTGTGCCTGTGCCCGGTTCTGGTCAGTATATCTTACCTGTGCCTGTGCCCGGTTCTGGTCAGTATATCTTACCTGTGCCTGTGCCCGGTTCTGGTCAGTATGTCTTACCTGTGCCTGTGCCCGGTTCTGGTCAGTATATCTTACCTGTGCCTGTGCCCGGTTCTGGTCAGTATATCTTACCTGTGCCTGTGCCCGGTTCTGGTCAGTATATCTTACCTGTGCCTGTGCCCGGTTCTGGTCAGTATATCTTACCTGTGCCTGTGCCCGGTTCTGGTCCAGCCTAGTCAGGGCGGTGAAGTTCTGGGGAGGGATGGAGGGGGCATACTTCTTACAGATGTAAGCGTTAGTGTTGGCTGGGTTTCCTACCACCACCACCTACAATGTAATCCATAAAACCACTAAAAACAAGAGATATGGAGGTTACCTAAAGAATTCATAATTACAGGTAGTGCTCAATAAATGGGCTACCAAAATATGCAACTACTGGGTGTGTCTGAATTCACAATTTTACAATGATCTCTTTTTTCAGGCTTGATTTTCTCGATTTCCTTTATTAAATAGAGTATAGAAAGAGTGGTCTACCTTGATATATATAATTAAAGTTTTCCCTTGATATTCTTTATTTGATTGGTTTTAATAGAGTTGTCTACCTTGATATAGTTTTTTAGATAAGGTTTTAGGAGAGATGTCTATCTTGATTTTCTATGTTTGAGAGGTACAGAGATGTCTACCTTGATATTGTTTGTTTGAGAGGGAGAGAGTTGTCTACCTTGATATTGTTTGTTTGAGAGGGACAGAGTTTTGTACCTTTATATTTTTCTTGGCCACTTTATCGATGGCCTGCCCCTGAGACTTGAAGATCTTGACGTTGGCGGCCAGGAGGTCCTTTCTCTCCATTCCCTCGCGGCGAGGCATGGCCCCCACCAACATCGCGACGTCTACGTCCTTAAAGGCCTCCATCTCATCACAGGAGGGGATCACCTCTACAAAACGGGTCAAGGTCATAGCTCTCAAGGTTATACAAGTCAGACAATTTACTACTCCATTATTTCACATGGTGTAGTTCTTTTGTATGCATTATTCATTGAGTAATATGGGCTACTGAATAAAAATATTGTAGTACTGTAATTTTATCTTTGATAAATAATTTCCCTTTAATAGGCTCAACCTCTGCAGATATTAAAATTTTACATAGTAATCTAAATATTTTCTGTAATATATTTCACTACAGTCACAGGATCTTCTTATCTTGTGTTTTAGTATTTGTTCGTATTCTGCATAGCAACGGTGTCTCGGTAAATATTATGTGTAACACACGCTGGAGGAAATAGTAACATAGGCATTCTATATTGAGTGTAATGTAGGCATAATAAGCCTATAGACTGTGATATATACGCTAGAGGTATTTAGTGACATGATAAGCCAATAGTACAATGTGTTACAGTGTGTTACATACGCTGGAGGAGGGGGAGGGAGCAGTCCATCAGCTCCATGACAACACCATTCAGGACCCCCATCATGGGAGCAATATCAAGGAGAACCAAAATGATGGGCTGAAAAATATAATTTCTCATGTTAAAATCAGACATTCAACTAAATATTTAATGTTGCTTACCCAAAAACATAGACACCAAGAAATTTAAATGATTCGACAATGCATTTTTAAAATTTCATTATTATATTGGTTATTAATTTATTTCTACAAACTGATTCGGATTTTCATTGAATTCCAATACCGGTACATTTTTGAAACAGAGAATGCAATAAGAGTTTGTACCTGGTCCTTGCCAAAGACATCTCCCCTGGCTACAGAGTAAAGGAGGGAATAGGCAATCTGACCAGCGGCTCCTGTAACGAGGACTCTCAGGGGTTCAGCCTGCAATAGGTCAAAGGTCAATAGGTCACAATTAGGTCTAAATCAACATGATCAATAAAGTTTTTTTTTTTAATCCTCATGTGGTAAATTATTCTGAATGATCAATAAATGTCAAATAAATAACATAATCAAGTGAGGGATTGATGGATTTAAAATTACTGTAAGACGTTCAATTACAGGGGACATCCTAATGTTGTAAGAGTGAAAAATTGAAAAGATAAACATTTTTAATTTAACAAAAGTAAAACAATATAAAATGTGCTTTTAAATACTAGTCCGAAAAATCTGACGTTTTTCTGGCTATTTTTACGATTTTGATATTTTACATGCCAGGAAAACGTCAGAACCGGCGCCATTACGAAAACTGGGAAATCGCCGCCTACAACCGGAGGCGGCATTCAGCGGTTGATTTTCGATACTTGTAAACCGAATTAAATGCTGAATTCACATATAATGAATAGTACAAACTCTTAAGTAGTCACCAACATCGTTTTTATGTTTCGTTTATGAAATTATTTAATACGATGAACACATTTTACCTGACTATAGATTTGTTTTCATTTCGTGCATTTTAAAATCGTGCAAGTTCTGAATCGGAATGAGGAGTGGTAATTTCTATTCATCGCTATTGGTGAGTTCTAGTAGCATTGTGCCATTGATAAATTGTGATTTCGGCATCTAATTCCGTTCCCAAGTATAGAAAATCAACTTCGGTTGAAGACGGTGAAATTCCCAGTTTTCGTAATGGCACCGGTTCTGACGTTTTCCTGGCATATAAAATATCAAAATCGTAGAAAAGCCAGAAAAACGTCAGATTTTTCGGACTATTAAATACAAGTGAAACACTGAATCCACTACTGTACTTCCTTGAATATTACGGGAGTGTTCTAACCGCTCAGACAGTAGAGTGACACCGAGACGTGTGTGTTTAATCGCGATCTTGCTTTCAATTAAAACCTTTTCTTCATTTTCATTTATCTAACATTACAGAAATATTGAGATCCGCCACAGTACACGGAAAGGTCACAAAGACACGCACCTACTAAATGGTTGACAGCTCGTTTCTAGGATTTTGCTGTCATAATCACACTTCATTCCGCAATGACAGTCAAATATTTTATCGTCTGAAGCAGAAAAATACATTCTGCAGCCTAAAACAAACAAGAAATCCTTACTTACCATTCTGTCTGTTTACCGGTTTCTTTTTCCGTAGCTCACGAGAAGAGGATGAAAGTTCAAGGTCAGAATTATAATTGAAACCGGTATGATCACAATGTGTAATTCCGGAAGAAGGAAATTTTTTTTCCAATGCAATATGGGGATTTAAAAAAAAATCATTTAATTACGTGATTAAGTTTCAAACAGGAAAAAAAGAAAATAATCATAAAATTCTTATTAAAATTGGACGTGTATACAGGTACAAAAGTAAAAGCATTACGTGTTTGTGTAACTGTTTATATCGATTAAATGGCCCCGTCAGTGACACAGAGGCCAGACGTGACTGACAACACGAGGTCGAGTTATTATTGACACGATTATTCTTTAACATCCCCCGCTCTCCCCAGAATTTAGTATCGAAAAAGTCAACGTTGAGAATTTTTTTTAATATTCGTTTGTGAGATTCTAACCTCACCCCCCCCCCCCCGCAGCTTTTGCCAAGAGCTTCAAAGTTTCTCAAATGCAAGTCAAATTCAAAGGACCATCGTCAGAATTGTTGGTATCCAAAGAAATGTCTTGTCAAAAAGGAATACATATCTGAAACCTAAAAGCCCTACTAGTAATTATTTAAAAGTTATGGACAAATTTTGTTTCTTTTTGTTTGTCTAAAATTAAGTGAGTACATGTTTACAGTTCCTAAAGCCATGGTCAAAACTCAAAAGGTCAACATATTTAAAGTTATTCATTGAAAGGTCGTGTCAGAATGAATACACTGAAAACCCTCGCACTAACTGTTCAAAAGTTTTGGCAAGGTTAAAGTTAGGAATTTTTTGGTAAGAGTACTTGGTCAAACTTCAAGGTCTTTGCTTCGTTGGGGGAGTTCCACAAAATTTGATTTCTGGACCCTGACCTTGGAGTTTGACCTACATTTACAAAAAAAAAATAATTCATACTTCACATCTCGTATGAATTTTGACAAGACCTTTGAGTTGGTATAAATATTTTTGACCTTGACCTACGATTTTGACCTACTTTTTACAAAAACCTTGGTCATAACTTCTGAACAGATAGAACTAGGGTTTTCATATTTCACAGGTATACTCCTTGTAACAAGACCTTCCCTTGGATACTTTTTAACTTGAATTTTGGAGTTTGACATGCATTTGAGAGAATTCTCACCCTCGCCATACGGGGGCATCAGTGTTTCACAAACACGTCGATCTTGTTTACTTTTAAATCTTAACCTTTGAAAACTTGGACTTTCATATAAATGCATGATATCATATAAGAATTAAACTAATTTCAATCTTTACCACAACCTGCCAAAGGGGTTGGGGTGGGGGCATCAGTATTTACTTAAACAATAAAATGTTTCCGCGTAAGCGGGTTATGTAAATTTTTTCTGCAATAGCTGCGACCGTTCATTCCAGTAATAACAAACAAAGAAAGACATTTTATTGTTTATATTTATATCTGGTTAAATATTCATTTAAAGTAGGATTAAAAAGATTAATTATTGTATTAATGATGCGAGCATCTTTATACGTTTCATTGATGGAACAGCCACTGATCAAGAAATCTGTACTGGCAACATGCCGACTGTAGTTCATGCAGTGATAACCGCAATGGGTTTTCTTAAGAAATAAAGGAGAAAATAATCAGTGGATGTAAATATAAACTCATATCTTGTTTCAATATTTAGCAAAAACTTACCTCGCCAAACACAAGCACGTACGTACAAAGCATCGATTTTGAAAGTAGCCATTTATTATTTTTAGCCGGGCTCATTGCTCGGAGAGCAATGCCCGGCTATTGTGACGGTGAGCAACAGAAAAAGCTGCTTCTTCACCGCCAAACTGAGCTTACGAGTAAAAATATAGTACGTACACCCAGCCGCTGTTGAGAAAACAATCCATTCAAACACCTTAAAAATAGTAAATCGAATATTTTTATCAAAATATTAAATTGTTTAATATTTTTCCTGGCTCCTTTGACTGATATTTTACAAAGCAATTCAAAAGGTGCGAAAGTTTTCACCAGGTATCCCTGTCTGCGTCATATTCTATAAATAACGGTTGTACTTTCAGGCTAGTTAACACACAGGGGACATCATTAATGACTTGATGCAAAACTCCCCGCTGAGGACACATCAGTCCAGAGTCGTTTGACCTTAATTAATCTTGCTGCATCGGAGTTTATTTACTTCTGTTTGTATATAAAACGCCGAAACGATACATGTGATAAATATTTTACGTTGTTAATTTCTAGCTATATTTTATTTAATTTTCAAAACTTTTTAATACTTATCATGCCATTTAGATATTTTTGTGTGCAACATATCCTCTAAACGTCTGAACATGATTTTAAACTGTCACCACGGTCTTTTTTTATTAACCTGTAAATGAGCACGGCTTTCAGTACTTCTGAGTACTTTGATTTTTTACTTACCTGAAAAAGTTGACAAGCAAAATAAAAAAGGACAAATTCCTTGCTGTAGTAAACAGGGGCCAAACAGTCTTTCAATGAAAATTTCAACAGTCAAAGTAGTGTATGGAAAAAGGGGGAAATGCCCCCCTTGACACCCCCCCCCCCCATTGCGTGCCTGAAACAGCATGGCATTTATCTCTCTTTAACTCATGTATGATGTCTAGCGTATGGAAATTATAAAATCAGTAATAATCGGAATCGAAATAGTTTAATTTGTTTCATAATTTGTTTCAGCCATGATCGTAGAAACTCGGCGTGGGTGGGGCATGGGGTGCTCAATCTATACATGTAGCATATATACTATGGAAAGCAAGGCTACAATTAAAGCTTCTCTCCCATCAAAAATAACGTCTGATGACCTTTTTGGGAGTTCAAAATACCCCAAATGAAAAGTTGGTGTGCCCCCCCCCCCCCCAACTGAAATTACTTCCTATAGGGGGTTGTTGTTATTTGATATAACTTAATAATGTCAGTGCATGACTTGAGCATCAATTAATATTGCAACAAGTTTTTATGGCCATGATGTAATCAAAAGACCCGGGGTTATATTTTTACACCGTCCGACCGTCTGTCTGTTTGTCCGCAAAATCTTTTATCTTGCCCATAACTTTTGAGTGCGTGGGGCCATGACTTTTATATTTCAAAGGTGTATTAAAATTTCTTTTGACAAATCCTTCATTTTGGTACCACCATATTTGACCCTTTGACCTTGAAGTTTGACACATTTTTACCACGCCCCAACATTGGCCATAACTTTGAACAGGTGTCGCTAAATAGAGCTCTAAAACTTCACTTATTACTGTGCAAAGACTTTTCAATGGGTATAAACATTCATGATCTTTTGACCGTAATATTGGAGTGAAACATGTGGTGTTAACGAAGAGTGTTCAAGATCACAAGATCAAAAATCCATACAACGATACAAAATAGGAGCAGCGCAAACAAAGACCCCCAAAACATCAGTGGTGGGATCAGGTACCATGGGGGAGTGGGCATTCCCTGTCGAAATTTTTTTAAAGAAAATAACTTTGGACATATCTTTTAAACAGTTAGCACCAGTGTTTTCAAATATTTCACAGTTGTATTCCTTGTGACAAGACCTTCCTTTGGATACTAACAATTTTGACCGGCAATTTTGCAAAGATAGACATTTGTTACTATACAGTTTTAGAATTCAGAGGATTTAAAACTAACTGTAACAAACTAACAATCTTGTTGAGTTAGTTTTAAATTCTCTGAATTCTAAAACTTTAATGTAACAAATTTTCAATGCATTGAAAATTGAAGGTTTTATTTTTTGTTGGTTTAGCCCCCCTTTCAGTAAGCCCCCCCCCCCCCCCACACACACTTTCAATTTGCTTCTGACGCATATGTGTATGTTGACTTAAAGGGGCATATAAAGTTTGACACTAATTTCATTAAAGTGAGGTCAAAGGAAAAGCCAAGGTCAAAAACTGTTGAAAAGCTCTCATCAGTGAAAAAAATATTGCAAGTGGTTTCTTTAAAATTGACTTAAACACAAATGGATAAAAATGAGGTCAAGGTCAAATAAAAGGTCAAGGTAAATAATGATGATACACTTGAAATGCTTACCTCAATATCTATCAGCTTATGATGTTTGACACTAATTAAGGAAATTGAGGTCAAAGTCAAAGCAAAGGCCAAGGTTTAAACTGTTGATGCAGTTGCATATCTCTCTCATCAATATGTATCAACATATTGAGTTTGATAAAAATATCTAGATGTCTTTAGTTAAAACTGACTTAAACATAATTTGATAAAAGTGAGGTCGAGGTCAAATAAAAGGTCAAGATCAAACTAGTTGATGCAGCTGAATTGCTTACATCAGTATGTATCAGCATATGAAGTTTGACAGTGATTTAGGAAAGTGAGGTCAAGGAAAGGTCATTGAAGTTTGATAAACATATCTTGAATGGTATCTTTAAAACTGAGCAAAACACTGAATAAAGATAAGCGAGGTCAAGGTAAAGATCAAAGGAAAGGTCAAGGTAAAAAAAAATGTTGATGCAGTTGAAAAGCTCTCATCAGTATGAATCAACATGTGAAGTTGATAACACCATCTTGAATCTTTAATGGTATATTGTAAAACTGAGTTAACACTAATTTAAGAAAAGTGAAGTCAATGTCAAAGGAAAGGTCAAGATAAAAAAAATGTTGATGCAGTTGCATAGCTCTCATCAATATCTATCAGCATATGAAGTTTGATAAAATATCTCTTATAGTGTTTCTTTGAAACTTAGCTTTGAACAGAACTAAAAGCAAAGTGTGACGGAAGGACAGAAGGACAGCTAGATGGAAGGCCAAATTCATGGCGGGGCATGAAAATAAGATATCTGCTGGTAAATTTGACCCTCCCCTCAGCCTCCTTAAAACTTTAAATATGTAAGAGGTTTGGAAACCCCAGGGGTGGGGTCTTCCTTGTATGTCACTAAGATACTCTCTGGTGAATGGTAGTATCACAGTCTTATGAGGAGCTCGAATGTCCTGTCTGTTTTTTTTTTTTTTTTTTTTTTTTTTGTAATACATGTATTTTTTAGCTCTGAGTAATTGACAGTTTCACCTGTGTTAATCAATATATAGATAGGTAATTTCTTTCTTATAATTATCGCATACCAAAATGT